CTCTCCCCGCCCCCCTCCCTGCACACAAGAACATCTTGAGATGACCCTTTAATCCTCATCTCAGACAGATAGTGTGATCCCTTTAATCCATGATGGAGCCCATCCAGCAATGCCAAACACTTAGAGACATCTGAAAGGCACTCTATAAATGTACATTTTATTAAGTTATTGCACTGCTACTTGGGTAATTTCATACGTGTCTAGCAACGTCCCTGCAAACAGCCATGACGAGAGCCACCGATTTTATCTGGGCGGGGGGGGCGGGGGGGGGCGGGTGGGAGGGAGGGGGTTGGGATTATCGGCCAGTACACCCGGATACGGAGAGAGAGAGAGAGAGAGACACTCCCTTTGCTTCTTCGAATAGGATCGTTGACGTCCAACTTAACAGGGCGCAGAGAGGGAGCTCGTCTTGAGGTTTAACGTCTCGTTCCAAAGGACAGCATCTCTGACAATGCAGTGCTCCCCCCAGCACTGGCCTGGAGGGTCAGCCTGGACCGTGTGAGATGAAGTCCAATAAAGCCCAACACGTGATTCCTTCACGTCGATGCTCAATGATCAATGTCCTTGACACTCAAATGGGTCTCTCACCCACCTATTGATTGCCGTGCTTTCCTGTTTCCCAGATTTACAGTGAGCTCCATCCACTTCCACAGTTGAAGCCACTCTCCGGTCAATAAGAGGTTCCTTTGATAAACAGTCACAAGTTTTCTCCATGCGATAAGTGCAATTGGAAGGCTGTGCGATTGATTAGTAACTGCTCCACGGTACACAAGCTCTGCACATCTTTGCTCTTGTTTGTGCGAGTCCGTGCGGATCTCAACTGGGTTATCAGCAGAGAACATCCCCTTATTCCCCTCCCTGTTCATGTCCCATCCCTCATTCCCCACCCACCCACCCCCTCACTCGTCTGTATGTCCTCCTACCCCACAAAACACAGTCAATCCACTTTCCAGTATATCCTGTGATGCACTTGGATACACCTCAATGACATGATAAGTCACTATATCAAATACAAGAATAATTATTATTATTATTATTATTATATCCCCTCTGCCCCTCTGAATGTCTGTCTGTCTGTGTGTCTGGAGGTCTGTCTCCAGCACGATTTAAAATACCCTCTTTATTTGAAATAACAATTTCTGTTTGCTGAGCGTTAACAATTTCCATTTAAGACCCGCAAACGCCTGCTTTGGTTTAGTACGTCGATATAATATATACACACCCACTTAGAGACAGATTGTATTTTCTGCTCAGCTGAGCCTCACTGTTTATTGCGCATCAGGAATAACGTATGTTGTTTAAGTGCGGTTTCTAACCCTGAAGGTTAAGACCACTCCCTCATGCGTGAGCTGCATATTAAGGTTGGCGGCCCCCCCCACCCCCCCCCCATCCATTATAATCCCAATTTAGATCAGAAAATCAGGTGGTGGAGAAGGAACCCCTATCATTTCTAACTGTGTTAATGGATTAAAACGCCGCCTCTTTAGTTTTACCCAATTTTCCTCCCTCCTTCCGGCATAAACGCAATGGTGTGAATCTTGTGGTTCTCAAGCCCATCTGGACGGAGCGACGTCCCACAAAACAGCCGTCAATTGACTGACCAATTGTACCGGGGGATTGTCGGCCAGGACTCCGAGAGAGAGAGAGAGAAAATTCCTTCTCTTAGTGAACAGCTCCGAGGGCTCTTTAACGTCCACCTGAACAGAGAGATTGAACGTCTCACCCAAAGGACAGCGTCTCCGACAATATTGCGCTCCCTCTCCCCGATAGTTCGGCGGTGGTGGGGAGAGAGGGACGAGGGGGGTGCGGAGTGGGCGAGGAAGGAGAGGGGAAAGGATGTGAAGCAAGTTAAGAGGAAACACTTAAAAGAACGAAGAGAGGCGTGATGGAGTCTATCCAGTGACCCACGGCTCCATTAACATTTGACCTTCAATCTCGCGCTTCTGACAGTTATCCTTAAATAAGCAAGACACTAAGTGCTCGAGGCTTAAAGTTATCCCGGCAAAGCCACTCCACTTGCTTGTTTTGCTAAAGTGTGCGGAGCGTTTGTGAATTTAAATTACCCTGCTGCAATGCCTCGTATAATTCATTGCTCCTAAGTACCTGTCGCCTGAGTGAGTGCTTTGGTTGTGTTAAGTATCATGGGAGATAATGGACAGTTGCCGCACACATTCAGCAAACTTTTACTGGGAAAGTTCCTCACTCAATCTCGCACTTGTAATTTAGTCATCTCATGTGTTTTTTTTTGGGGGGGTGGTCCCAAGGGGTTGGACCATAAGGGATTTGGACCCAAGCTGGAGGGGGTTGGGATCAAGAGGGGGTGAAGGGAGGGGAGGTTAAGGGGGTTAGGAGGATGACCGAAGGCGGTTGGTCGAAGAGGTTGGTCTTGAGATTGGGGCCTTGAAGGAGGCGGGGGAGGGAGCGAGGCGAAGGGACTGTGGGATAGCAGTTCCAAAGATAATTATCATAGACTATATGGGTTCCACGAAGGGCTGGAACCGATGACTTTGAGACTCGGAGATGAGAGTGGAATGGGATCACTCAGACAATAAGTGGGAACCCGTCAGAAGCAGGAAAGGAGTTGTGGCAGTCCGTGGGATTTTCTCGAGGAAAACATACACAGGATTGCGCATGTCAACGAGGTGAAGGTACCCATTCATCACCAATAATAATAACAACAATAATAATCCTCGCATTTGATACAGCGCCTCATCACGTCTTCGAGGCGTCTCAAAGCGCTTCACAGGATGCACTGTACAGTGAATTGACTGGGTATTTTGTGAGCAAAACGTAGCAGTCGATGGCGCACAGCAGCGTCCCCACAAACAGTCGTGGATTTAGTGACCGCATCATTATTATTATTTGGAAGGGACTTTTAACCCCTTAAACTGATCCGCCAGTCGACGACGACTGAGCTGCTACTAACTGCTGGGTAAACACACGGTGAGGAAACTTGCCTAAGGTTTGACCCTACCTGGGAGTCATCCTGCGTCCTCTCGCTTGCGAGGCAAGCACTCTAACCACCGAGCTACAGGACTTCACAATGTGCCAGTCGGCGAATGATGCCTTACATACTAACTACCGTTAAAAGGACAATTATGTATCGGAAGAGCTTTGTTGGACAAAAAAAAAAGGAGCTGCTAATCTCTGCAACTTCTTAAAATAAAGTCTCCCATCGTTACAATCTCCGAGCGCTCACTCATTTCCCCTGATAAAAAAAAAAGTCACGTTTTCCCCCAAGCAAAAAAAAAAGGTCGGTCTGCAAAGAACTTCATTGGGGATTAACGCAGGCTTCAATAGGAGCTTTGTCGTTCAGACGTATTGTGTGGTTCGAGACTGAGAGGCGGTGGGAAAGAATCAGCATATTTGAAGGACTCTGGGAGCACCTTTCTGATCAGAGGTGATTGTCTTGTTGAGTTTGTTGTGTCAGCGCTCAGTGAAAAATCTCTCCTCGAGTTCCGCAGTTACCTTGTGCGTCTTTCACCCCTCAATCACATCAGCTCCGGAGCGCAGATTAATCACAAGGGCTTGAGTCTTGACGGTGCAGATGGGCGACGTTTGACTGCTGAGGTGTGGGAATTGAGGTGACAGGGGCGAGGGTTGGCAGATTGATGAGTATTCCCACCATCCATCCTCTGCCAACTCCCGAGATTGCGTTCCAAGATTGCAATGTTCATTTCCGGTTGTCTGCCTGATGCCAGGCTGAGCACCTCAAGTCCTTGCCTTCTGTTGCCCTCAAGGTCTTGGGCTGTCATAGAGGTGACAATTCATCTCTCCTTCTGCACAGACAGTCAGGATGGTGATAGCCAGTGATCTGACAGCCTTTAATAACAATAATAATATTGCATTTGGTATCGCACCTTATCACGCCGTTGGGATTTCTCAAAGCTCTTCACAGAATTTTCGACTGTGTGTTTTGTGAGTGAAACTCATCAGCCACTTTGCGCACAGCAATGTCCCACAAACAGCCACGGAGTGAGTGACCGATTTTATTTGGCCAGGACACCGAGAGAGAGACACAGAGAGAAACTCCCTTCTCTTTTTGAATAGTGTGTGTGTGTGTGTGTTTGTGTGTATGTGTGTGTGTGTGTGGTTGCGTGTGTGTTTGATCGGATGTTATGTGTATGTGTGTGGGTGCATGTGGCTCAGTAGAGCATTAAAAAATACAGCATTCGCAGTAATGAGCTTGAACCATAGGAAAACAAATGTCATTCCATCAACAACAGCAACAAGATTCCATTAAAAGAGCGCCTTTCACGTCGGGAGAACGTCCTAAGGCGCTGGACAGTTGGGTCAGGACCCGAGCAGGGGGAAATGGTCAGGGTGAGGGGAGGGAAGGGAGGGAGCGAGGATGGGGTAGAGAGTGGAGAGGGGAGCTGAAGGCACGGTCAAAGAGAAAGGTCTTGAGACCGGCCTTGAAGGAGGAAAGGGAGGAAGCGGCGAAGGCCCTGAGGGATGGAGTTCCAGAGCCTCGAGGCTGAGAGGCTGAAGGCCCGGCCACTGATGGTGGGGCGGGGGGTGTGGAGCAGATCGGAGCCAGAAGAACGGAGGGTACGGACAGGTAAGTAGCGGGATAGTAGGTCGGAGAGGTAGGAGGGAGCGAGGCCGTGAATGGCCTCGTAGGTGAGGATGAGGATCTTGAATTCGATCCTCTGGGGGATGGGGAGCCAGTGGAGACGAGCGAGGGTGGGAGTGATGTGGTAGGCGGTGCCAGTTGTGGCGCAGATATGAGGAAGAAAGGACAGCTCAGGGTCGAACAGAACGCCGAGGTTCCTGACCGGCTTTGAGAGGCGGAGAGTACAGCGTTGGATGCTGATGCTGTCAGCACCATCGGCCAATTTGTACTCTGTGGCACAATTAGACTTCTCTCTGAAATGCAATGAACCACCCAGCTAAGGCTTCCTCCCGCAGCCCACAGTCACCACCGAATTGGATAGACCTCCGGCTCGTGAGGTACGGGGGGGGGGGGGGGGGCAGGTGTTGTGGATTTACCCCACAGACGTCCTGTAGCTCAGCGGTTAGAGCTCTTGCCTCCCAAGCGAGAGGACCCGGGTCCGATTCCCGGGCAGGTCAGGGTGAAACCTTAGACGGGTTTCCTTCCTCCACACACACACATTCCTCTGTTTACCAGCAGTGAGTAGGAACCCGACTGTTAGTCGATTGGCAGATCGCTTTTCCGGGGATGATAACCCCTTCCGAAATAAAAAAAACTTAAAATAATAATGATTTGGTGACTCAATTCCACGACTGTTTGTGTGGGGGACGCCGCTGTGCGGAGTTGGCTGCCGCGTTTCGCCCAGAAAAAACACGCAGTCAATTTATTTCACGGCACAGCGCGTAAAGCGCTTTGAGACAGACATCTCGTCGAGCTGATCAGGCGCTATATCAAACTCGAAGAGATTATTATTATTATCCCTTTGTTCGGCCGGTCACCCCACTGAAATCACGAGCGGGGATTTTATTCAAACAGATGGGTCCGAGTGACGCTGAGCAAACAGTAGAGACTGCACAATACGCGCATGTGTGTGTGTGCGTGTGTCTTGTTGCTGGCAACGGCTGTGCGTTGTGACAGCTGCACTCATTTTCTAACCACTGGTGGGTTTCAGAGCTCAGCTGGTAGCCCTATGGGCATTCGACAGGGATTTGATGTCAATGCTAAACTCTCAAAGCCGACGCCATCTCAAACAGAGGCCGTCAACCCTTTACATGTGCTGTTCAGTGACCCAACACAACAGGAATCGCCACCCAGACAGACTTAACTTGATGTAAGATTTCCCCCTGCACCTTGGGTGGCTTTGACCTTCTACCCACAGACCTCTCCACTCACCTGCCTGGGATGAAGCTGTTTACTGAGGCAGTGTTTTCCTTGTTTTCCTCTCGCTGTATGTGGGAGCGCTGAGTGGTTTTCCCCGGGTTCTACCATGGGCGGCTAACGGGAAGCCACAGCGAGGTCAAGGCAGATCAAGCTCTTTTGAAGCTGGAGGTACCTGCTCCAGGTACACACACAGGTACACACACACGATTAGCCACCAATCGACTAACAACCGGGCTCCTACTTACTGCGAGGTGTGTGTGTGTGGGTGTGTGTGAGGAGTAAGGAAACTTGTCTAAGGTTTCGCCCCACCCGGGAATCGAACCCAGGTCCTCTCGCTTAGTGAGGTGAGCCCTCTAACCCACCACGCTACGAGTCTCTACTGTTGGTTATCCTAGAGCAGCTTTTTGTTTGTGGATAATTAATCAGCGAGGTGGTGGTGGGGGGGCGGTAGCGGTGCGGGACGGAGAGGAGGATGTGGAGGGAGAATTGGGAGGTGTGGGAGGTTTCCTCGCGAATCTGTTCTCTTCACAGGTGTATAAGCGTGACAGGAAGGTGCACGCTGATGGCTGTGTTGGAGTCTGCCAGACAGTTGGGAACTTTACACTCGGCATTTCCGTGACAGTTGTTAAGAGTTGGCAGCTCTGTGCGTGTCATGGAGCTTTGCTGTTGGCACCGGGTTCTGTAACGTACATTCTCTCTCAACATCGCTCGTTCTCATCCCACGAAACCACTAGCAGCGAGGCACCACATAATAATAATAATAATAATAATAATAATTCCTGCATTTGATATTGTGCTTTATCACGACATCTCTAAGCGCTTCACGCCTCTACACTTCAGTTTAGTGTAGCGACTGTGTGCCTTTGGTTGGCAAAAGCAGCTAAATTTGCGAGTAGCAATATTCCCACAAACAGCCGTGAAGTGATTGATGGGGTCTGATAGGGGGTCTCTGACTGCACACCTAGTCCCCCCCACCCCCACGCTGTTCTCGGAGGCGGGGGGGGGGGGGGCCTAAACTGCGAACTCATAACATTTCCGGAGAAGAAGGAAAAAAAAACAACACAACCTCGGGAATGCCAACAATCATTTCTGAGCCAGTGTGCGCTGGTGTTGTCGTTTAACATTGTGATTTATGAAACGTACAGTAAAGGGAACATGCAGAGATATAAATGGAGAACTTTGGGGTTTGGACTGGAAAGTTCATTGCTGACAGATTACCCAATCTGTGGAGCTTGGAGTCCTGTAGCGTAGTTAGCGCAGTTGCCTCGCAAGCGAGAGGACCCGGGTTCGATTCCTCAGGCGGGACGAGACCTTAGGCAAGTTTCCCTACTCCACACGCACACGCCTCTGTTTACCGAGGAACCCGGTTGTTAGTCGAATGGTGGATCGTTTTCTCGGAGGTAATAATCCCTTCAAAAACAATATGAATAATTTGGTCACTCAAGCCACGACTGTGGGGGACTCTGCTGTGCGCAATCGGCTGCCGCGTTTCGCCCACAAAATACACAGTCGATTCACTTTACTCTGTGAAGTGCTTTGTGAGGGCTTGAACGATGTGATAAGGCGCTGTATCAAATGCAAGGATTATTATGATCATTATCTTGCTGTTGGAGGCAGCATCAAAGCCAAGTGTGGGGAGGAGGAGGTGGGCATCCCATTCTGGCAAGCCTCGGAGATCTTAACACAGGAGACTTCCAAAGCCACACATATGAGTAATCAATGGCCCCAACTTGCTCTCTCCTGATGAATTGTCTATAAGGCCGTTTGGCTGCTGGAAAAAGCCCAAATCAATCAGGAATTTGCGAGGCGGGAGACTGACTATCACGCCCAGAAAGAAATAAAATTAGCTCAGCCCGGTGTGGGAAACAGAAGCAGCAGCAACACTCGAGGAAGCGGTGACAGAAAGTCAATCGCATTTTGCCAACTCAGGTTAAATGTTCGCGAAAGTCAATCCAACTTGGCTGGATATCAGAGTCTAAGGCTGACTGATGCTCCAATGCTCGTGTGTGTGTGCGTGCGTGTGTGTGTGTGTTGGTGGGGTGTTATTATCAGAGGTGCCGTCCTTTGGATGAGACGTTAAACCAAGGTCCTACCTATGCCCTGTCCAGATGGATGTTAAAGATCCCGTGGCACTAGTTTCTCTCTCTTCTCTCTCTCTCTCTCTCTACCAACTGGTGTCCTGGCCAACAATGCCACCAGATAAAGTTGGTCACTCACTCCATGGCTATTTTTGTGGAACACTGCTGTGTGCAAACTGGTGTGAGAGAATGTGTGTGGTGTGTGTGAGAGAAGGTGTATGTGCGAAGATGTATGAGTGTGTGTGTGTGTGAGATATTAGGCCAAGTATATGTCCATATTTCTTATTAACAGCATCTCCCACCTACAGAGACAGTCTGAGTTCAGGGTGCAGTGTTTACAGATTGAAATGTAAAGTCAACCTCGCTCAATAAAATCACCTCGTTTATGTCTGTAAAGGTATGAACTTAGAAGGGGAGAAACAAAATCCCCTCTTCCCTTCACTTAATTGTTCTGCCGCTGTGTCTCCGTCTCACACACTCGAACCGATGGAAATCTCTGTTATGTTTGTTTCATTTCAGGCCATGAGCTTCCTTCCCTCCAGCGCTGAGCGGGAATGATCAGCGTGATGTGAGACAACTTTTAACGCTCAGTCTAAAGATGAAAAGGGTTTTGCTTTTGTAATCTTCCGAAACATCTCTTGTGAGGACAGTCTTTTGCCTTCCCTGCTCTTCCCTGATAAATATTTCTGCCTTTCGTGAAACAATCTCTCCCCCCACCTCCTCCTCCTCCGCTGCGCAGTGCTGTGATTAGAAATCAGCTCATATTTTTCCTCCTGTCCCCTATGCTACAATCGGAGAAGTGCATTGTTGCGGTGAAGGAGGAGATCATTCGGCTCATTATATACGTGCTCAACCCTCCCTCCCCACCATCCTCCACACTCCTCCTCGAACCTCTCCACTCTAACCCCCATCTCCTGCTCTCTCTCTCTCTCTCTCTCCCCCACTATCGTGTCTGTTGCTGGTGCTCGCTCCCCCACTGGAGCTCTCCACTCTACTCCCGTCCTTGCATTGGATATATCAGGTTGTTGAGGTGGCTCAAAGCGCTTCGTAGAATACATTGTAAAGTGTAGCGACTGTGTATTTTGTGGGCGAAACGCGGCAGCCAATTGTGCACAGAGGCGTCCCCGCAAACAGTCGTGGATTGAGTGACCACATTTTTTTTTGTGTGGCGGGGTGCCGGGCGGGGGGAGTGATTACCTTTGCAAACAGTCGACTAACAAACTGAGTCCCTACGTACCGCTAAGTAAACATCGGAGTGTGGAATAAGGAAACTTGGCGAGGGATTTGCCACAAATCCACAAATCTCCTTCAACATCAAACTGAACTAAACACAGCTGGACCTGGTGTGTTTGGGGCGGTGGGAGTGGGGGGTGCGGAATGGTGTTGGGTGGTGGAGAGAGAGAGAGAGAGGAGGGGGTGGGGGAAGAAGAGACACAATTTCGAATGGAAATGCGAACATAATTATAACTTTGGCTGGTTTTTGTTTCGAATGGGAAACATCGCCACAGTACCTGCGCGGGGAGAGAGAATGTTGCCGCGCCGCTTTGGGTAGAGCAGTGCACTTCATATTAATACCTCTCTGCTCATTGAGATAATCCACCCAGACATCCAGCAAGAAATCTTTAATATATACAGCTTGGCTGGGCAAGAGCCCCTCGCTCCCAGCAGTGGGCTGGCTGGATTCACGTCCTCCGCATCTGGAAGCTCAGAAGAACTGATCCCAGAGAAGCAGGTGGATTCAAGCTCCGTTGCTCAAACCAGTGGATGCGCTCAACTAATTAAACCGACTCCCACTAGCGATGGTGTGGAGTTGAGCGGAACTTGAGACAATACGGTTGAACGGATCAAGGTTATTCCCGTGGTACGTAAGATCGGAGGCGGTGGGGGGGGGGGTGGGGTGGGGGGAAACTCACAACGGGGCAATGGTTTTTGCTTGGCATTTGACGGACTTTCCATTGTCTGGTCGGGACTCAGTAAAGTGATCGATCGGAGTTATTTTCAGAACTGGAGTTTATCCCAGTATCTTAGACAACCATCCCCACACACACACACACACCCACACACACACATACCCACACATCTGCACACACACATATGCACACACACCACATACAGATACCCACACCAAACACACACACGCCCACATACACACACACCCACACACCGAACAAAATAAAATCGGTCGT